ATTGCCAGTACCACTGGCCACATTATTTACTTTATTGGCATTATTTGTAATGTTCTCGTTGGTAAGTGCAATGAGAGGCAACACAAACAGCCCCCCACGCAAATACCCTTTTCCCAAGTATTCCCCCCTGCGACTCATAATCATTTTTTCAGATTCAAACACCAACTTGATCCCGGCTCTGACCAACAGCGGCCCCGAGACCAAGTTTCTACGCAGAGTGGGTACATACATTACATTGCTCAATAGTAAATTTTTTCCCGAGCACAGCTTTATTTCTACACTACCACTACCTCTTACCTCAGCCATGCTATCATTGCCCATGTAGACTTGATCACCTTGTCCTCGAGCAATCGCCTGGAAGTTTTTGAAGAGGCCTTTATTGGAGCAGAAATGACGTGAAGCTCCGGTGTCCATTACCCATTCCTTGGAATCTTCTACTATGCAGGCTTCAAGCGTTATTACTGCTGCTATCACTTCACTTTCTTCCACCACATTGGCTTGTTTCTTGGATCCGCCTTGATTTCCCTGCGAGTCATCTCCTCCTTTCTTGAAGTAGCACTGTGCTGCTTGGTGACCATGCTTCCCGCAGACGTAGCATGCTCCCCTTTTACCTGTTTTGTGACTTTTATTCGCCTTGAAGTTGTTGGTGTTATTGGCTTTCACATTCTTCTTCCAGTTTTTATTTTGGCCAGCATTTCCAATTTTTGACCTGTCACTTGTTACTATTACATTAGCCTTCATTTTTTCAGAAAATGAAATTGTGCTTTGCCTGAGGCGAAATGCCTCCTCAATATTGATATGGTTTACCATTTCTTCCCATGTACATTCCTTAGACTCGTGTTTCATTTTATTTTGGAACTCTGACCATGATTCAGGTAGTTTTTCAAGAAGTGAATAAGTTTGAAGAGCGTCACTTACTGGTATACCTTCGGTGATTAAATCTCCAACCAAATTTTCATATTCATGCACTTGATCAATGACTGGCTTACCATCCATCATTTTGTAGTTCAACCAACGGGCAACGGCATATTTCTTCCGCCCTGCGTCGTCTGAGCCGTACTTCTTTCGCAATAAATCCCATATGGTTTTTGCGCACTTCTGGCTGGCATAAATGTCCAGTAGTGCATCGGACATATAATGAAGCAGAATACCCCTTACCGTTTTATTATCGCGCTCGTATTTGGTACGAGTGTCTTGGACTCGATCGTCTGTCTTGGACGAAGGAGGTGTCTTCGGATCTGCTGCTGCTGCATTCTGTTCAGTGACCGCATTCTCAGATTGTTCATCGTCAGTTGTGGCTGGTTGTGCAGGCAGGACCGCATCTAGCAGGTTCGCTGGTGGACCGTTGATGACGACGTAATCAATTTCGAAGGCTTCGAAATGGATCATCAGTTTCACCGCCCACCTGCGATAGTTGAGGCCGTTGAGTGGTTCGATTTTCGTGAGATCAGCAGCAGCTTTGGCGACAAAGGAAGACATATTGGTTTTTTGGTACGGAGGGACTAGCTTTTAACTGTTGTGGTTTGGGGGTGTTTTGGAATGCGATATTTAAAAGGAGTTATTTGTTTAATTTCTGTGACGTGTGTATAGACACACTGCCTTAAAAGCTAATTCCGGAGACCGTGCAAGTCTTTTATAACCGGGGCTTTCGACCAGCAAACACAGAGGATACTCACGTATAAATTTCACAGAGTATACGTATATTTAAAGCGTAGTTGCTGAATGACTTTGCAGTATGGGAAGGCTGGGTATTTATACTGGGTGTATACCAACTGCCTTCCCACTACCACCACAATAAAGAGCGCAAAAGATGGATAGGTTGCGCACAAACCATCCACTATGAGGCTCGGATTACTCCTGTCCACAAGAAGGTTTCAGGAGCGCAAAAAAATAGGACAAAGAATAAAACTTTGACCCCACCACACCGCACGTGCGAACCGAGCCGAGCAGGCGGCGACACGCGCGAGGCTCCCCCTTTCCTCTCTCTAGAAAAGACTTCAAAGGACCCATTTGGGTTGGTAGTGAAATAGTGGGAAAACTATTCTTGGGAAACCAATGTGGGACAAACTTGTATGCAAAACCTCACTCTTGAATGTCTTATTCCCAACAAATCCATGATAAAAATTGCAACCGAAAGATTTTCTGACAGACCAACAGCCACAAAGAAATTGGAATGAACACTCCATATGTGCGACCATACTAATCTAATACGATTCATACTATAGTACCTGCAAAATTTAAAAATAAATTAAAATAAAGTAAATAGATTGGTACTATTCATCCCATCAACTTTTAGAGTGTTTCAGCATACAGAAGGCTTAGAGGCAATATTTGATAAATTCAAGGAAAGAATCTTACGCAACTTCAACCATTTTTGTAAGGCTAAACACACGACGATCTGTTGAAGATTGTAATTCTGACATGGGCACTTTGCAAAGAGCTCTCACAAAAGCCACTATTACCTCATTGTTTAACCTTTGGCTATGAGCAAAGAAGTGGCTAAGCTCAAAATTCCCAATCTGATCAAGCAAATTCAAGTTGGAAATGAAGTTGTTTATTTGCTCTGGAGACACCAGCACTGGAGAGTTAAATACTTTTTAAAAACACTTTTAGCTAAAATCCCATTTTAGCAATTTCAGCTTCGGAAAATGCAAGTACAACTCACCATTAGTAGCAAACACACGCTACTCAAACCACAATCAAACTCGAATGCAATTGCTACAATAGACTACCAACTAAACACATTCACGTAGTAGCATAATTCTAGAACTAGAAACATATTATATGCAGACACAGAAAGGGCACCTTGATGATTCTGTTTCAGGCTAATGTAAAGTGATGATCAATTTGTAGGCTTTGAGCCCTAGCCACTCAGCCTTCACGTACGTATGTTATTTATTTTATTTGTTTTTTTTTTTTATCAGTTTTTACCTTTTACTTTTTAGTTAGGTTTTGCTTCTTTTTTTTTTTTTTTCCTTTTAAATCTTTTATTTATAGAAAAAAAACAAAAATAAATAAATAAATAAATTGGCCGCCTAGGCGTCAAAAAATCAGCGCTTAGGCGGTCCCAGGGCGCCTAGCGTCTTTTTCAACATTTGTCGTTGTAAGTAAACAAAATTTAAGTTAAAAATGTAATGAGACAAAATTTGAAGAATATAACTAAATGTAACTGCTACAATAAAACTTTATATATTTAGAACTCATTAGACATGTTAATATAATTTTCTTTTTAGAAAATAAAACTTTAGAAAAAAATTATTTTATTAAATCTATAATTAAATAAACAAAATAGTATATATATATATATATATATATATATATATATATATATTTAATTCATATAGCATACCATTTTTTTGTGTGTCAACCACACTAATATTCATTATAGCATACCATAATATTCATAAAATAATAAAATAATATTTAAAAATCATAACTATGCTAATATTAACGGGTTAAGTCAGTTGACCCGTTATTTGCGTGTCTAATTCCGTATCATGTTAACAACTCGTAAAAAATTCCCTAAGTCTAGGCTATGCCTCCAGGAAGAAGAGTCTATTTCCTGTGGTTGATGCATACATTGAGACAGTAGGTCACAACAAACATTAAAAGATGTTGGTTCTGCAAATGAATTGAAAAATCTTCCATCTAGCTACAAGTAAAGAAAATAAAAAATTCAAAAAGATGGCCGAGTGAGTACAGTATGAATTTTGTATTTAAAGATTACAAGTCGATTCTTATTAACATTTTTTTAGGAGCGATCTTCCTAGTGCAATTTATGTCTATTATGCATGTGGTCGTGGTCTTTCCAACATGCTCTCTTAAATAATTTTTACACAAAAGTAATATTTACCTAATAATGTCTGTAGGTTTACATAGTCATCCAAAGAAAGATTTTTATTTTTATTTTTTTTAAAAGTGTAAGGATTCCACCTATTAAATTTGGTGGTGTAAGATAGTTCCCCAAAAAATTGGTTAATGACCCAGACAACTCAGCCACTCAGGAGTCAGGACAGTAACGACCAAAGACTAAAGACTAAAGACTTTCCTTCAAAAAAAAGAAAAAAAGAAAAAAAAAAAAAAGAGAAGACTAATGACTTGCAATGCTGCTATCATAGTTAACATGTATTTTGGGTTAGACTTGTAAGTCTTTGTTTTTAGTTGTTGACGCCTTGACGGAGCAAACTTACAATTTGGGGTAGAATAATTTATTTCACTAAAAATTGATTAATGAGTGAGAAAGCTCAGGAATAATGACAACTAAAGACTAAAGACTAGCAAGTAACAATGCAACTATATATTAAATTTAACATGAATTCTGGGTGCTTAAAAAATTACGTAACTAATACTCGACTTTGCAATTTATTGTAAACTGAGCACATCGATATTGAATATTGACCTGCCTAGCGTAAAATTTAAATACAGATAGTGAAATTTAAATACACTAGTGATGGAATTTGACTCTTTGAACTACAACAGATAAGGAAAGTATAGAACAAATACTAACTTATAATAGTGTTAATTAATTGTATAAAAAAAGTCAAGAATGTAATGTTATAAAAATTAAAGGATAATAAGACTAAATATCACAATAATTTTTAATTCGCGTGGGTTTTGCAACGTACAATTATATATTGGCAAAAACTTGTTTGAGACCATCTCATCGTGAGTCGGGTCGGGTAAATGTAATATTAATTAAGAATAAAAATTTTGTTACTTGTAAGGGTAAATGTAATATTATTTTTAAAGGAAAATGTAATACTTTTACAATTTGATTTAAAAGTATTACATTTTAGTATTTTATACGATTGAGACATGCAATGCATTTTCCAGTCCATGTTTTTCGTAGTTGTCAAGGAAGCTTCCCGCCCATCTTAGTAATAACGCGCTATAGCATATGAAGTTTGTATATATATCTATTATCCAGCAAACAAATAAACATAAGCAAAGCATTACATTTATAGTCATATATATATTAAGCTTGAAAAACTTTCCTCATAATGGGGACGACTTTCGTCCATCAAACTAGTTATTTCTTCATCATCCTCTTCGCCTTTGTGCTTATGGAGCTGTGCAATTGTAGCGGAAGCAACAACTTGGGGGTTTGCAAGGAGAGGGAGATGCAAGCACTATTGTGCTTCAAGAAGGAGTTTGAAGATCCAATGAATCGACTCTCCTCTTGGGTTGATGGAGTTGATTGTTGCACCAAATGGGAGGGAGTTATGTGCCACAATGTAACCGGTCATGTTGTTCAACTCCGGCTAACAAATCCCAACTTTCAGTTTGAGTTTGTTCATCTTCCGAAAGGTACACTCAGTCCTTGTTTGCTAGAATTGAAACAACTACATCACCTTGATCTTAGCGGCCTTTATAAATATTTCAGTGGATCTCGAATTCCTAATTTCATAGGATCTTTTGCAAACTTGCAATATCTTGATTTATCCCATTCGGGATTTCAAGGGATGATTCCCCCTCAACTTGGAAACCTTACAAGTTTGCACACTTTAATTTTGCAATTGAACATTGATGAAACGAGTGGTACTAGTCTCATAAAAACTAAGAGTCTTGACTGGTTGTCCAATCTTTCAAATTTACAGTTATTGGATTTGAGTTATGTTAATCTTAGCATGGCACATAATTGGTTAGAGGCCATTAATATGCTTCCTTCCTTGCGTGAGCTTTATTTATCTGATTGTGATCTGCCTAAACTATCCCAGTCACTTTCCCTTCTAAACAATTCTTTACTTGAAGTCCTTGATCTTTCCTATAATGAATTCAACACTGTTATTCCTAAGTGGATGTTTAATCTCAATAACCTTGTTTCTCTTGATCTAACATCTTCTGGTTTTCTATGTCCACTCCCTGATGGTCCTTGGAACTTGACATCCATTATCACTCTTAACATCAGTGGTAATGAAATGAATGGTTCATTACCTAGTCAATTGTTTGGTCTTAGTGGTTTGGTATCTATGAATCTAAGAGATAACCAATTTCAAGGTTCCTTGCCCAATAGTCCTTGGAACTTGACATCTCTGAGTATTCTTGACATCTCCAGCAATAATTTGAATGGTTCATTACCCCATCAATTGTTTGGTCTTAGTCACTTGGCATCTCTGGACATAAGTTTCAATCAATTGCAAAACCCTTTACCCAATGGTTTCTCAAACTTGACATTCCTTAAAAATTTGGATGTTTCTAGTAACCGCATGAATTCATACATACCAAATCAGATTTATGATTTGACCAATCTAGAGTCACTAGATCTTAGTGACAACCAATTGCAAGGAACCATTTCAAATTCTATTTCCAATTTGACATCTTTGTCTGTCCTTTATCTCTATGGGAATATGCTTACTGGAGAGATACCAAAGCAAATTGAAAATCTCAGCAAGTTGCAAGCGCTTTCTCTCTCTAGTAATATGCTTACTGGAGAGATACCAAAGCAAATTGGGAATCTCAATAAGCTGCAAGAGCTTAATCTTGCAAGAAACAGGTTATGCGGACCTCTTCCTGAGAATTTGGGGTATTCATTTCCAATGATTGAAAGGTTGTACATTTCAGATAACAAGTTGGAAGGCATAGTGACAGAAAATCACTTTGTTAATCTCACAAAGTTAACCATTTTAGTTGCATCTGGAAATAGATTAACCATGCGTGTCAATCCAAACTGGACACCTCCCTTCCAACTTGATCGGCTTTATCTAAGTGGCTGGAATTTGGGTCCTCAATTTCCTCTTTGGTTGCAATCTCAACATCAAATTTATGCGGTGGACATTTCTAATGCTGGAATAGAGGGTGAGATTCCAACTTGGTTATGGAACTTTTCTTCTCAAATTGAATTAGTTAATGTTTCACACAACCAATTGCGAGGCCAAATTCAAAACATACCTTCTCATTCAACTAGAGAGGTGTACTTGAGCTCTAACCAATTTAGTGGTCCCTTACCTCGTATTTCTATCCACATAATTGGGTTAGACTTGTCAAACAATTCATTCTCAGGAAATATTTCTAACTTCTTATGCCATGCACAAAAGGTGCAATATGACCTCAGACTACTTCATTTGGGAGGAAATGATTTATTTGGAGAAATTCCAGATTGTTGGATGCATTGGCCATACTTAGAAGTTTTAAATATGAAGGAAAACAAATTGATTGGAAGCATTCCAAATTCCATTAGGCTTTTGAGTAATTTGGAATCTTTGGACATGCACAAAAACATGCTTTCTGGCCCTATACCATCACTGCAAAATTGCTCCATGCTAAAGAAAGTTGATTTGGCTGAAAATGGATTCACAGGGACGATCCCAAGATGGTTGGGGACTTCTCTTTCATATTTGACAATTTTAAGACTTCGATCAAATAACTTTAACGGTGAATTGTATCCAGAGTTCTGCCATCTTACATCTCTTCGCATTTTAGATATTTCCAATAACAACTTCACTGGTGTGATACCCAAGTGTCTTAAAAATTTCACTGCAATGATTAAGAAGGAATTTTCATATGGATTCTTTGAAACGGGGTATTCATCAGATTTTGGGAGCTTTGGTGAAAGTGCTTTAGTAACTACAAAAGGACATGAGTACGAGTATTTCACTATCATTCTAATGTTGTTTGTTAGCATGGATTTTTCTAATAACAACTTTAATGGGGATATTCCAATTGAATTGACGAATCTTGTGCAATTGAAATCTTTGAATTTATCAAGAAACAATTTGACAGGAAATATCCCCGTGGAGATGGGAAATATGAAGTTATTAGAATCCATTGATTTTTCAAGAAATCAACTTTCAGGAAAAATTCCATCAAGCTTCTCAAGTTTGTCATCGTTGGGTGTTTTAGACCTATCCTATAACAACCTATCTGGGAAGATACCTTCAGGTACTCAACTGCAAGGCTTTAATGCTTCGTGTTACATTGGCAACAACCTCTGCGGCCCTCCGATCTCAAAAAGCTGTAGCAGTATTGATGAAGGTAAAATTCCCACAAATGAAAACAAAAGAGATGATGGTTGTGAAGTGGATTGGTTTTATGTTAGCATGGTTATAGGATTTGCAGTGGGCTTTGGATGCATCTATGGTTCTTTGTTTCTTGTAAAATCTTGGAGGATTGCTTATTTTAAATTTTTAGATAAGAAGTTGAAGTCTTTTTTAGTATGGGCACATGCTTTGAGTGCTTAATGCTTCTAGCTATACAGAGTTGGATGAAAGTTTAGAAGTGAATGACAATGTTATATTCTCCTGTAATATGGCAGTTATGACAGTAATAAATAAAGTTCATTCTTCTTCTTCAATTCCTAATACTCTGTTCTCTGAACTTAGCTTCATGCTCTCTATTATTCTGACAACCTGGGATAGAAGAGTTATGAATTCTAAGCAAGGGAATGGACATAAATACATCATTGCTAATAAAAGCATGTCTATTGCCTACTTCTGTTTTGCAAGCCCCCGAAAAAATCTCAATCATTTATATTAATGTGTGACAATTATATTTGAACTTTTAAGTTTTGGCAATTCAATATCAAACAATTTTGTCTTGTGAAGTTGTGATAGTTATATATCTATCTATGTATTACAATTATATCGAAACCTTTAGAATTTGAAAATTTAACACATCTTTGTATCTTAGCTTGTGACAATTGTATTGTATCCCCAATTATAACATCAAATTTCTGGGGTGGAATAGAGGGTGAGCTTCCAACTTCGTTATGGAACTTTTCTTCTGAACTTTTCTTCTGAAAATTGACTCATCTCACAACTCAAAAGCAGCTATATATTTATTTGAATACAAGAAGAACAGGAAATAACAGAGCAAAATATCAATATGAATAGGAATATCACTTAGCCACTTGTTATACCATGGAGGTATGGAGTAGGTTCACCTTGCAAGGTGAACCCTAGTTCTAAATTATGTATTTTTAATATTGGCCAGATTGGTATAGCGTGAACGGAATTGCTCAATTTAATAAATGGAGACTAAATTAAACTTAATTATAGTACTACATATAAATTTGGCAAATTATACTTTGGATTATACATAAATGTTTATTATTAATATATTAATTGTTTAATTTTGGTGTACTGTAAGTTCATTATTGAATATATACAAAAAATGAACATTTAATATATTAAAAATAAATTTTTAGTATTGCAATGTAGATCATAGTTAATAGTATAATAATGATTATATACTTGATGTATTTTCAAAATTTTACTCCCACTTGTGTTCAAATTTAATTGAAGGAAGAAAAAAATGAATGGATAAACATCATGTTCCCTTACAAAATTGAGCAATCAAAACATGCCAAATCATATAAAGTATAAAATGGGAGTACATGTAGAATTACTCAATTTTTTTTAGACACCCACGTCTAGACTTGCTCAAGGTATGGACCAACCATTCAAACTGAGTTTTTTTTTTTTTTTTTTTTTTTTTTTTTTTAAACTTTATTTTTTTTTGTTCAATTTCAATTTTGATGGTTAAAATTATCTAAATTTAACTTTATTTCTAAGAATTTTTTCAATTCTATTTTTTTTTTTTAATCAAATGTAGATTTTTTTTAGTAGTTTCTAATACTAACATATTTTGTAGTAATAGTATGGTGAGTTAATTCAATTTTTTTAGTTCTAATTTTATAAGTGACAGTTCACCAAGATTGGATTTACAAAGGAAACGGTGTTGAATATTTTATTTCGAGCCATTTTAAATTCAATTCGACACTAAGATTAGATTTAATTCCAAAATCCTGATTTTTCGGGTACATTGCATGCCACGTTTTGAACTGAGAAATTTATCTGAGTGAAACCGGGAGAATTCTGAGAAGCCTTAAACAAGTGTTCATCTAGAAAACTTTTTAAGAAAATTCTATTTTCAACCCCAAAGTATTTTAAATAGCAATTCTAGCCCTTGGTCTATGGAGCATGGTGGACCACTAGACATCCAAAACCTTTCCTGAGTCATCTTTTGCTAAAGGAATTACACTTTTGCCATCAACCAATCATATGGGATCAACCTAGGGTTTTGTGGTCCTATAAATTTAGCTCTTATCAGACATTTGCCTCTTTGTTTCCACCATTGAGCCTCCTACAAAATCACCAAGCAAAGCAGTAAGTTTTCTTCATTCTACCCTTTCAATCCTAGCCATTCATTCTTCAAGTTTTCCTTCTTTTCTACCTCTGAGAACTTAGTAGTAAGATGTTGTATGGTTTGTTTGAGGTGTTTAGGAGGTGAAAGAGGTAATAACTAGCTGAGAAGGATGTGGGAACCAAGCTAGAAGAAGAAGAGGTCTACAAAGGTATAACCCATGGATTCCTAAAGCTATTTTTATAGACTCTGTGAAGTCTTGTTTGTGCTAGAAATGAGTAGAAATTCTAAATACATGTTTTATTTGAGCTATTAGATGATCTATGCTGTGTTGTTGATGTTTTGGAGGAGTTGGTTTTGCCTGAAAATGTTTGGTTTTGGTTTTGAGGCATCTGGTGCACAACCAGTGTGCACCAGATATGCCAACCGATCCCAGCCAACGGCCCAACAAGGGGTCCGTTGGTTAAGGCCGTTGGCCATCGGCCCTAGGGTAGGGCCGTTGCCTAGGACCGATGAAGAGGCGGAAGGAGGGCCGGGCTTAGAGGAGCCCCGCCCTTAGGCCCATTGGCAGTTCTCTGTGTAGTGGTCGGGCCCTTGTGGCTCCGTTATATGTCGTTTCAGACGGGGTATCGAAGGCCCTTGCGACTCTCTACCTCGGGGCCATCTTGACGCACGTTTTGGCTTTGATTTCGTTGAGTTTGGAGAAGAATTGAGCATTTTATGCTAAGATTTATAAGCATATTTGTTGCAGATGTTCTTTTGAGTTTTTACAGTGAAAGTGTTTTTGTTTATGAAACATGGATATTTTATCTGCTAAGCAGGTCATTGTTTGATTTTTAAATAGAGAAGCCTAAGTTAAGTTAGTTGTTTCTAGCTATCAAAGCATGCCTAAATTGTATTTTATGAACTGAAGTTGTTTACAACCAAGTTTCTATTTTTCCAATAGCATGTTATACTTGCTAAGTGTTTGATGAGAAGAATTGTGGAGTTGTATGTTTCAAGCATGAGTTATGAAATCCGTGAGTTTACAGTGAGTAGAATCTAGAAGCATGATTTTCACAATACATGTCATTTGAAGCATGTTACTGTAGATTGCATCATTGAGTTTTTCATATATTAAAGTGCATAAGTGGCCAATGTGAGCCTATGTATATTTTTCTAAAATCTCATATCCACGTAGAGATCCGTTATCTTATCATATTGAGATTTAATTGAGAAGTTATGTGCATTGATTGCATGAGAAGAGTATTTGCATATCTTGAGATGCATGAGTGATATATCTATCTATATGTATCTATGGTGGGCAAAACAGTATTTTGGAGGAGCCGTTTGGACTATGTCCTTTCGGAGTAAAAGAAGAAGATTCGGACAATTGCGATCCGATAATCAGTAATGAGGCGTATTCCCACGTTACTAATAGGTTGGAAACTGCCCGTTAGGCTTGGAATCCTGGTCAGGGGATGTGCACACTGATAGTTCGATACCTGATTCCACAGAGTGAGAGAAGGGACCACTAGATTGGTTCTGTGGACGGTAGGAGATATTGGGTCGGCTATACGCCGTTCCCAATGGGTTAATTCACACCATTGTGAACCCCTAAACCGTCCACGAGTGTGAGAAAGTAAGTGAGTCAAGAGAGACTCAAGAGAAAGAAAGTGAGTCAAGAGACACTCAAGAGAAAGAAAGAGAGTCATTGAAACTCAAAGAAAAGAGAAGAAAAGCAAGTCATTTATGACATCAGAAGCCTCCACAGAAAAGTATTATTTTTAGAGTGTGACAATATATTTATATTTATTTGTTTATCTTGCACTAGATTGCATAAGTAGAAGCATGAGATTGCTTATTTATATATGTATTGCACTAGGTTGCATGAGTAGTAGAACAAGATTGCTTATTAATATATGTCTTGCACTTGGTTGCATGAGTAGTAGCACGAGATTGCCTATTGATATATCTTGCATGAGTAGTACCTGATAGCATGAGTTGCATATTTGATTTATATGAGAAAGCATGAGAATTTTGATTATTTGAGAAGCTTTAGATTGTTTATAAGATGAGAATGTGATGAGTTGTTTATGTTTAAGTATGCCTATTTGAGTATTAAGTTGCAAGCATCTAGAAGTTACGCCAAAGTATATTAAGTGTTTAAACTTGCTTGAGCAAAGAATGTGGAACCTTGTTTTCCAAAGTATATACTGTACTTACTTTACAGGGTTGAGCGGCGTTATACTTAGCTTCGTGCTAACGTGTTTGCTTGTTACTTGTTTATTTGTTAACCCATTTCAGGTGGTTCGAGCTCGTAGGTACGTGAGAGAGTTCCGAGTTAGACTAGTTAGATTAATGTTGTAGTCTAAATTCGTTTGGTGTTTGTAGTAAACCTTTGTTTTGATAGTGTTGAACACCAGGGTCTTATCCCCTAGATTCTCGGATTAGTTTGACTTGTTTTTGTTAAGTTTTACCTAAGCCCGTGCAATCACCGTGTAGGGTGGTTGTGGCGGTGACGCTCCCTTATGTTAATTTATTAAGTTTATTTCTGCTGTTTAGTTTATCTTTTAAAGGTTTAGTTGCTTAAGTAGGATTAAGAAAAAGAGGGTGTTACAGTGCTAGCCCTACTTGCATCCCTATAATCGTCATAAAATGGATTATAGGTCTGCTCTTTGTGTTTTTCTAGGGTACCCTCCGTCCTTTCGTGGTTATAGGTACATGGATCTGAACACTAACCATATTTTTTTTTGTGTAGACATGTGTGTTTTGATGAATGCAGCTTTCCTTTTCACGCTCTAGTGTTGAGCAGGGTCCGGTGAGCAAGCCCATGTCTGGGTTTTCATGGGGCGTTGCTGGTTTCTCTCTGACTTCTGTGCCTTCTGTGCTGTCTCCTGTTGTTGTGTTTGTTCCTACTTTGCCTGCTCCTAGTGGTGTTTCCAGACAACCTGTACGTACTCGTAACCAGCGGGTACGGGGCAACCTCGTTCTCACACGATGACTCTTCGGCACATGCCTCGTGATCAGCCTCACTGTGCTTTGGTGTCTTAGGTTGTTCCTCAGGAGCCTACTTGCTTTACTCAGGCTGTTCGGCATGCTGAGTGGAGAGATGCCATGGATGCAGAGTTTAATGCTCTCTTACATAACCAGACATGGCGCCTTGTCCCAGCTAAGTCCGGTATGAATGTGGTTGGCTGCAAGTGAGTGTTACATGTGAAACGGAAGGCGAATGGCCCGGTTGAGCGCTACAAAGCCAGGCTTGTGGCGAAAGGTTTCAATCAGGTTCCGGGCAGGGCTTTTTTGAGAATTTAAGCCCTGTTGTTAAACCGACGACTGTACGCTGTTTCTATCTTAGCGCACTCTCATGGCTGGGCGATCTGCCAGCTTGACATTCATAATGCTTTTCTTAATGGTCGGTTGGTAGAGACCGTTTACATGCATCAGCCTCCGGGGTATGAGGATAAGGCGCATCCTGATTATGTGTGTCTTTTGCAGCGCTCGTTGTA